CTTCCTGGAACTGGCCACGGTCTCTGCACATGCGCTGGCCTATCAGCTGGGTGGCAGATGCCTGAGCAGAGACTGCAGGTGGCCTCCTGGAAGGGAAGCCAGGCCTGCTGCCTCTGAGCATGGGGGCGTTGGCAGCAGCTGGAGCAGAGAGGGTCTCTCTCTAAGAGGGACTTGACAAGGCAAGTCAGAAAAATGGGTCGGAGTTGCAAGTCAAGTCCAAGTCTTTCAACCCCCCCCCCTCAGAGTCTGAGTCAAACTGACTGAGCGACTTAAGTCAGACTCAACAGCAAGTTGCAACTTGCAAGTCTCCATTCCTGCATCCAAGCTATGGGGAGGCTGTACCTCCACCTGCTCGCTTGCACTCACCCACGGAAACAATTAAGCCGCTTTGGGAGAGTTGCTGTATTTGTTCTTCCACAGCATAGTTGATATAATCTTTTTTCCCTGGGAGAATAAGTCTCAAATGACTGTGCTGTTTTTTTTCCTTCTCAGCAAAGAAAAAAGGTATGGGAGGGCATGCACCAGCCGGGACTCGAACCCGGGTCACAAGCTTGGGAAGCTCGCATGATACCTCTACACCACTGGTGCACTTGATATGAGCCTTTTATTTATTCCTCAGAGGGAAGGCTGTGAGGAAACTGCACAGCGCAGGACGTTCCACTGGTTCCCTCTAGAGTCCGGTCCCTTCACCGGGACTGATGTTTTGTCCTGAGAAAGAAGAGGCTCCTATGGGTCTGCCCGGCCAGGAGACTTTAGGTGCAGAGCAGAACATTTGCCATGTCAAGGCCTGTTGGCAGACAGAAGAAGAAGCCTGCAAAGGTTTAGGGGAAATAAAAAAAGCAAGGAGGCCCTCCTTTATTTAGCTTAGCATCAAAGGGAAAAAGCATCAGCCTGCTAGCAGAGGATGGTTTCGATCCATCGACCTCTGGGTTATGGGCCCAGCACGCTCCCGCTGCGCCACTCTGCTGGGTGGGAAGGCTGCTGGTCGGTACAACATATTGAATGGCATTTTTCCCCTGTGCCATCTCTGTCCATGTTACTTCAGGCCCAAGGGAGCAGAGATGCAGCATTTTCTAGGTCTCTGTCATTCCGTTGGCTGGCATGTCTGGCTGTTAAGCTGAAGGAAGGGTGGTTTGGGCCCATCTGGGGAGGATCTCACTCTGACAAGGCAGCTGAACATGGAAGGCAACGGCTTGCTAATTGCTTATCTCTGCATTTGTGTTTGCATATTACACACATGCACACGCATGCACACACACCGTCATCACTTTTCTCCATGTGGTGAAGACTCTGATGTGGGTCAATGTTTAGAGACTTTTCTGTTACTTATAACATTTTTGAATGCAGAAAAGCTGAAGGGAATGACGATGGCAGCCCAGAGTCAAGTCTAGGTCAGAAGGGAAACTCGTTAGCTCTCGTTAGCACATCTACGAAGGAAAAAGGGTCTTCATTCCAGTGGCAGGAAAAGACCTTTTTATTTAAGCAGATCCTTGT